CCTACACGCTTCTCTGTCTTGGACCAAACAGCACCAGTGTTTTAAAAATGAAACAAAACAACAACAGAAAGTCTGCATTGTTGGTGAAATGCCTATCCCACGTGATGGAATACAGATACAAATAGGTGATAGCTTTTAAACTCCATCTCAACAAGCCATAAACGTGGCAAGCCGAGAAACACAAGCGATACAATCACAACCTAACATTCATGGGTTCAGCACTTAAATTACAACTAACACAAATCTCTATTACCTTTGCATTTGAGAAATTCACCAGGCACAGAAACAGGCACATATCTTCAACTTTCCTTTTCCAAGTAGGAAAACCCATGGGAAAAGGAAATAAACTATATTTCATATTTATAAGAAAGCTAGTATGTTACCCACAACGTTTTTTTTTCTGTCAAAATTATGCCACCCATCATCCCCTTTTACTATTGCACATTCTCTTTGTGAAGAACAACATTTACAGTACAAGGCTGAAATCAACATTGCATATTGTAAGTCAGCAGTTGAAGGTGTACCATGTAGACAGTAACTGAAACAAGACCCCTTTAATTAGATCAGAGAAGTAATGCAGACATGGTCGTGCATCATAATCGCAGGTTGGTCTTTAAACACCCAAATAGTTTCATCCTGTTTAGAATTCAAGACTTTCTAGGTAACAGATGCACTCACCCTGTGCTGAAGGGTGTACAAAAAGGGCAACATCCAGATCGTCACACACTGGAATCTCCCTAGAGAAAGCTGGAAACGGAAGAGGTTTGTACATAACTTGGAGCATCATCGTTAAGAAAGAATACCAGCAAGAGACTTCAGTTGTGCGCTGCTAAGAATTACTAAGCAGAGGGAAAAAAGCTTCCATTGAAGAAACTCTGTTCAAAGTAATGCAAATACTCTGGGACCCCCTTGCAGTAATGGCACACCACAGGAGTCAGCCGGGATTCAAGAGTATATGTGGGGGCAGACTGTTGCCCCATGAATCACTTTAAACAGACAGTCCCTAGAAAACTTTGGATATCTGGGTCAGGAACATATAGAAAAAAAGGATAAAGGGCATTTCAATGATGAGAGAAAAAGTTAAATAATTTAAAGTGTTGAGTAAAGCACCAGGTATCTTTTCTTTTCAATTTAGAGAATATACAGTGGCCTTGTTTTCACAAAATGCTACATACTCCTTGCTGGAAAGCAGAGGAAACCGATTTCTATGTACACAGTAAGAACTCTACAGAGATGGCCCGCGAGTTCTGCGGAGAAAGGGGTGTTACAGTCAAGGCTTCAGGTATTCCACAGCAGGCGGTGTCTACGTTTGTGTAGCAAGATCCTGGATTTCACAGTACGCAGGGTTGGCAAACTGGAAATTCTCTGGCAGCTTCATGTAGTTTTAAAAAATAAGTGCAGTAGGCCTCCATTTTATTAACTGTGATAAAAAGCATATATGCAAAAATATTTTTATATCGATAGCACATTACTGCATTATAAAAGCTGCCCAAGTGAAGCTGAAGATTCTGGCAGCTGGTGCTTTTGGCACTTGGGAGATGTGGAAAGCAGCATAGAGATCTGTGAAATACAACAGTGACTGATGTTTCTGCTACAGTGATCGGCATTAATATAGTTAGCAGTGTTCATATTTAAACTTCTCTAGGAAGTTTCTGAGTCAATATCCCACTAAGAGGAGATATTCAGATCTCTTAAAGCTACTAGTTAGGCTGTGTGCAGACTCAGGAAGACTTCCCTATTAGTTTACACTTTTCACATGTTTCAAAGTCCTCTTTCAATCACAAAGGCTGGAAACTCTTTTTTCCTCCTCTTTTAAAGAGCCTGGATTTAGGAGCACAATTCTGTCCCAGGAGTTGGAAACTGTAGTCACAAATCTGCAGAATATGCTGGGCCCTGCTTATACTAGAAATCTCCTCCAAGTCCCAGATTGAAACAGGATATAAACTGTTTTGAGATGGCCAAACGGTTTCATTTAAGTTTACAAGACATGCATTAGCAATGGGAGGAGAGTCCTTTGGACATTTCCACTTGGGAATCCTGTTTTCAGTAAAATTCTGTGATGCACAAACACAAAAGCTCAGCTGCCTACATTCACAATTATTAAAATGACACAAGTTGAGCGAACCTTCGCCCTAAAGCGTAAGTGATGGGTTTGCTTATGCAGCCTGCATAAAACTGCAAGTGCCATATAATTATATCTAGAGATATAGATGCGGGTATATCTATAGATATTTATCTCTTGTGCAGAACGTCCTCCTTCCATGCTAGAAATTAAATGCTAGCACATGCCTCCATATTTGAGCTTGCACCTGTTGACAGCTATGTACCATAAAGGGAGTACAGTACCTGAACAATGGAAGGCAAGAAAAGGAAGACAAGTTGCTGCTGACGGTTGCGACAGTCAGCAGCAGGCAGTATTCTAGCAGGTGCCTGGAAAACCCATGAAGACCACTTAGCATGCATTGTATATTCATAAATACTTTTTGCAGGCACTGTGTGTGAAGGCACAGCCAAAAAAGACAACGGCAAAGACAAGCTGAAATACAAAGGCATGAATTCAACTGCACCTTAGACAAAAATTGTGACCATGCCTCAAAAAGCAGAAAACTGATACAACCTGACATTAAAGAATGAGATGCAACATTTTCTTTCAAGCCCACGAAGGATAAAAACACAGTGGTGCAAGTCCGCTCTGCTCAGCGGTTCTTGGATTTTAAAGAGCACCACAGTCAGGCTATGTCTCTAGACTTGCTTGTCACAGGCTATTAAACAGAAGCAGATGAACACAGCAGGTTGCAATCAGCATGTTTCAGGGCTAGCAAATGCTTTCCACTACAGTTCAGGCTGTTACAAGAAAGAAGCCCATGCATTCCCTGTTAGGATGCTTGTCTGCTATGAAAAGCTGTCATGAGCATACACATTCACAGCCCCACAGAGTTCTCAGATGGGTCCATTTCAAGTGATGCCACCACAGGCATTGGAGGAAAAATGTCGCCTGCCTTCACAGTGGCCATGGAGACTGTCTAGTCCAAGCTCCATAGGAGCACTGAGCATAACATTTTGGCACCCGAATAAGATGGATTCCACCATGGAAAAGTCATAGAAGCTCCAGAAGCCAAAGAAATGCGCTTTGGCTTCTGTTTTGTACATGGCAAGGTACCTAAGGGCTCTGAAGACAAGGCTAAACATTATGCCTGAAGTCCAATTAAACTACCATTTCAGATATCAGAATTAATCTGAATAAAAAGCTATGGTTTATAAGCAGCACAGCACATCTAAGGCACATGTATGCATGCAAGCCACCATCACTGTATTAAGACGCTGCTGATTTGTCCTTAAGAAGCAATGGCTGCTAGTACACAACAAACATATAGGCTTTTTTCAGCACTAATCCTCCTCCCCAATACTGAAAATACTATATACTGCTGACAGCATAATGTGCAACATATATAGCTTGATTGGAAAGCATGGGGCAGAACTTTAAAAAATGTACAGGATTCCACTTAGAACTCCAAAGTTCAACAAATGCCCTATTTTAGGGTGAAAACAATTATAAATCTGATAATGATGCACAGCATCCATGAGTGATTTTTCCTTAATTTTGAAATAGTGTCATTAACTACGACATATATTGTAGGTTTACATTTCTAAAGAGAAATAACAGAATTGAATAGTTTTTTTTCCTATCACAAGTGATAACCAGTGTTTGATATCTTCTATTTTTCTTCCAAGAAATATCAGTCTATCAACAGTTTTAAAATAAAATGTTTTCTGTAACAATAGAACTTTAAATAAAAATATGATTTTGATTCAGATACTTTTGAGAAGACATGGATACTTTTCCAAAATCTTCTGACAAAGTAATTCTTAAAACAGAGACCAGATGAGGCCTTAAAAAGACAATATACTATATTTCAGACAAGATTGCACCTCAGTTTTTCAAATAATATCATAATTGCAACATTACTTCATCATTTCTTCTTTTAACATGCTGACAGTTTCCAGCTAGCCCACGTGTGAAGTTTTTTTTTGTTTTTGTATTCTAGCTTAAAGAAATAAAAGTTAGTAACTTATTCAGCACATACTGTATATGTCTTTTCACCTCCAATTGACTAGATCATTAATAAGTTAAAAAAAAATCCTCTCTGACTATAATCATTATCCTCATGAGGGATAAGTGATTCTTCAGAGCTTAAGTGTTGCTAGTTCTATTAAAAAAATATACCATGGTATGATTTCTTAATGTGTTGCTACTTTCGCAATTGGACCCTATGCAGTTATGCCTTCAAACTCTTCCGTCTGTTCCACAAGGTGGTTCTGTGAGCTTTAGGACCTCTGATTGAAGACAAACTGATATAAAACCCCCAAACGGAGTCGTCTTCTGTTTAATCCGCCTCCCCCATTGTATGTCAGGGGTCTGGTAGATCCGATGTATCCACTATGACTTTAATAAAAATAGTATCATCTTTAATATACGTTCCATTCTCTAGCACAGTTTGAGCCACAAAGACTGGGCAGCCAGATGCAATGTTCATTTCTCCAGTTGGCTTCTTGAAACTGCTGCTGTTTGGATCTGGCTTGAAAGCATCTCCTAAGTGGCGTCGAGACGGTCCCTGATCCATTAGCATGAGAGTCACTTTCTGTTTAAACGGCCAAGGAAGCAATGCATCATATTCTCCACGCATTATGACAAAAAACAGCGACAAGTGCGTCCCCTTTCCCATGCCGTCTCCATTAAGGTAAACTCTGGCACACATCTTGTAGCCAAAGTATCCAGTATAAAAGGGTTGGCTGTACAAGGACAGAGTCTTCCCCATGACTGCCTCTTGCTTCCGACGTTTATAATCTCGAATTTTCCAAATTAATACTCCATTGTAACTGGCAGTTTCTAAAACTTGGAATCGGAGGTCCATGTCAGCCAGCCGAATATCATGAACACTCAGCATCTGATCATGTCTGCTCAGCTGTGTCTCTAGCAGGCCTGTTGGAAAACAGAAAGGACGAGGGTGAGAAAAGTGTTTTTTTCTAAAGACAATTTTTTTTCTAAATCAACTGCCAATGCTGCTATTGTATATGAAAACATTTTCCTCCCCAAGAACCAAAGTGCATTCTGTCACCGATAAGCAATTTCCACAGACAATAGTATGCCAGCTAGTATCTAGGTTAACTGGGATTTTTACAAACATGGGTGTTAATCACGCAGTAAAAGTCAAATATCCAAATCATCTAAAATAAATTTTGTCTGGTCACTAAGCAATATAACCACAGAGGCTTCCATTTTTTGAGAGGAGACTTGGTAGCATTATCTGTAGATTGCTATTAGCAGTGAAGACCTTGGAAGTGGTCACACATCCTACATAATCTCTCGGAAATTCAGAAGCACCGCTGGTCACTCAAAATATTCTTCTCAGACACTACTTGTCTCAGAAGTGTAGTGCTGTTACCTTGTCTAAAGTCCATCATAAAAGAACAGAAAATTCAAGCTTAGCTCTGCATTATATGGTCACTTATTTAGTTTGGAGCAAGAGCTGTTTTGAAATGTCCCCTTTCCCTCACATGAAAATTTTACTTTGTCTTTGCACACTGGTAAAATTGGCCAACATATAATACTGAGAAGCAGATGAATTAGTAAAGCAGGTTTGTTTTATACAGATCTATTTAAACATTAGGTTTTCACTTTATTCAGCAAGCATGACAGTAACCTTATTCTCAAGCAGATCTCACAGTTTTCTTTGGATCAAATATACCTCTGTAACAGATATCAAGACAGGTGGTTTCAAGTGGATAACCATACTGTTGATCCATTCATGAGGGAGAAGAGTAATAAAAGAAGTCTTGTCAATATACCAAGACTATATTTAAAGAAGCTGCTGAAAGCTATTAGCTGTCAAAGATCAATTGAGAAACTATTTGTAATGACCTAACATTGTAATCAAGACAAGGGTCAAGAAAACAAAATAAAAGACAAGAATCAAGCCTAAGAAACAGGGTGGAAGCAATGCCACATCAAAGGGATTATGCAGTTTCCTATTGAAAAATCAGAAGAATCAGCCTTATTGATGCTTCCATGTAAAAATCACAATGGGAGTGCCATTCAAAGGACATAACTCTTCTCTTGACAGCGCTGCTGAGCACTTCAGTCCATTATGCTTACACTTACTTGTATTTCGAGCTCCTTGCCCTGCAGTTTTATCAACACTTTCCAGCTCAGTCACTCTGTTCTGGAGGGATTCTACACTGCTCTTCATGCTGTCAGCCTCCTCCCAGTTCTGTCGGAAGGGACGGATTTCTTTGTCCAGTTCTTTCAGTTTCTCCGCTTGACTGTCTATCACTCGCTTTATAAAACAGTAAGTTACGAGTTAAAATAACAAAAAGACATTAATTTATGCAAATTAAACACGGATTATATATCGGTAATAAGATGCATTTCCAATATAAACAAGTTTCACTTATGTCAAATATTTTAACAACACAAACCTTGAAAATTTAGAAGAATAGCCCAAGTATTTATAAAACACTTATAAAAATCTTTAGTGCTGCACAGGTATTAATATTAGAGCACTATCAGAATTATTAACACAATTTTTTTTTTTAAAAAAAGGAACTGTTAGTATAAAAAAAAATTTAATTTTTAAAAAAACCTTTCAATGCAAGAACAATATTCTGAATGTCTCTATATCGATATTATGGGCTGATATTTGTTGGGTTTCATGTCAGAGTATTTAAGCAACAAAGTATGGGCGTAACAACAACTTACCATGGTGTGAATCAAGTGGCTGCTCATGTGCACACGTTTGTCATTGGGTAACAGCACAATAACTTACCCCTCCAGAAAAACATCAGTACTCTTGCACACATGGAGTAGGAGTACATATATGTGCAGATACAGTGGCATTAGCAAGCTCCAAGCTCACATAAATCGGTTATCAAAGCCTAAGTTATTATGTGCCCATAACCACAGCAGAAGCCCTCAAGAGTGTAAGCAAAACTACCGCTTCTATCCCCTTAAGCACTTTTAAAATTCCCATGCATACTTCCTAAATTGAATAAGCCACGCATCCTGAAGGTGCTTGCTGGATGAGTCTTTTTAAGAAAACGGAAAAAAAAAAAAAAACCTGTTGATTTTGGAAAGGCATGAAATATAATACTCAAGGAAAAAAATACACAGAACAGCTGGTATTCTCTGGAAGAGGGACATTGCAAGCACCTCAGTGTATTACAAATATAAAGGAGAACGTATTTCCCAGTCTACCTCAAATCTGATGCAAGAAATACATAGCACTTTACGTTATCACAGCTAATTTGGACTAGCAGGAATTTTAGCCAGAACCCCATAATCAGTTGTGAAGTTCAAATGATAACACAAATATTTGAGACAAGAAACTACTTTTGCTACCACCTACAGTTAAATTCCAAATCTAACTTTATAGCTTATTATCATATAGTGCCAACATATTTTTAAATGATTTTTCACTTCTTAAAAAAAAGTAGCAGTTGAGTACATAACAAGAAAACAAAGTTATTTTGCATTTGCCTTCTGGTTAGACGTGTGGATTCAATGTTCCCCACTGATGGGGAAAACCCTTCTGCCTCATGCAACCTTCATTTCCCCTTTTAGGCATTTGCTTTTAATCATGTGGTTTCAGTTATACTGAAAGCCTGTAATAATTAATTGAAAGCTGTCAATTTGATAAGCCAGCTAGCAAAATCATGTTCTAGGAGTGTTTTATTTTGTTGTGTCTCAAAACCACTGAGTAATCTAACATATTTCAAGATTAACTATTTATTTCTATGTTGGTGTTTTAAAACAAGCTTATATATCTCACTTGCAAAATCACAACTTTGTGAAGGAAAGTTTCACAACTGAATCATAAATGCAGGGGCATGGTCCCATTAAATAGATTAAGCAACTTGCCTGGACGTACTAATCATCAACTACCAACACAATCACACCCTCTCACTTGGACGGACAGTAATCAGAAAATAAAATAGGGATGGGCTGTTAGCTATACATATAAAAGGAAACACGCCATGGAATGGTGTGTTAGAACAAATGTTCTAAGAACAGAGCCACAAGATTTGGCCATTAGTTCACAATTAACATGCAAAATTAAACTCAAGGTGTGCCCAAGTCTGATCTTTTTCCTCTACTCACACAAAACATGAACTCCCCAAGGCAAGAACAGTAACATGGTCATGGGTTGGTACAGTGCCTCACAGAGAGATGCTCTAATTTCCAATTAGGACCTCTTGGCACTAACACAGTATCAAACAAAATGAATAAATACATTTTTTAATGAACTGGGAAAGTGGTAAAGATGCAGAAGAATTGTAAGGTACTCCTCTTTTGGGAGAAGTTTACTAAAAATTGTTACTAGGGACCAACTTCTCTCCATCAACCTGTGTGCAACATTCTACCTTTGTACATGCACAACCTATTCTGTTTTTCAGCTGCTTCTACTACATGTCAGCAAATGTATAGTATTTCATCTGCTGTACCTCTTCATGAGAATTCAAGAGACAGAATAATCAGAAAGACTTGTATTCTGTTTTTAAAAAGCAGTGGGATCTCTATCTTTTTACCCTACAGGGAGTCAACCTCCTTCATACTGGGAGATAAGGTTGTACTAAATCTGAATTTAATGCAGCAGTGGAGAATTTCACTCTCTCTAATTATTCCGTTAGAAAGCACACAGATGTCTCACACTGTACTCATAAATTTTCAAGTAGATATCAATTTTCTGCATGCACTTTTTATTCCAGCAACTGACCTCTGCAGATCATTAATCCAGAGTTATATGCCTGGCGAACCACTGAGGGCTCTTCTTGATGTTGATTTTTATCTAGGTTTTGTTTGGTATTTCTAATAAACAATTTCCAGAATTTTAGCACTCTTATTACTAAAAGAATTTAGAAAATGTCATGAGGAACTGAAGAAAGTTATATTCGCAGCTGTCTCTCTTTCAGATGTTCCTAATGGACCTTTCCATTGCAACTGATAGAGCAAAACTGAAAAGCTGAAGAACACACTAGAAAAGGAACCAAAGGTACTACTTGACTAGGAAAACAAATCGTACATTCTCCTCCTTCGAAGGAATGTATTACAATCAAATAATTTTGTATTCATAAGGTCATTGTTTCTTTTGTCTCTAAGTACCTCATGTCCACACTCAGCTTAAGACTTGGCTTACTAATATGCTTCCAGATACTCATAACAAAGACTGGATACTGGATGTGAAAGTTCCTCTCCACAAGACAGCAGTCGGAAAAGTATCACATACTCTCTTGGTAAAAACACTTTCCCTAGAAACCAGTATATAGAAAATTAATCTGAATCAAAACATCTCAAGGTTGAGGTTCCTGCCAGTGCCCAGACACCTTTGATGCATGTACACTAGTTGTGTTAAATGCCTCGCGCTGCAGATGATGCCAGTCGTGCTCAGTGAAACAGCTGTTCCCAAGCCAAAGAAGGTTACATGACAACTAATACTGAAACTGTACTAGAAATTACTAGCATGCACAGGACTCGGGGGACTAAGCAAATAATGCTTGTCCAGACCTGAACTGGCTAGTTCTACACTGGAAATATCTGTAGCTCTTGTATAGCCATGGCTGCTTAGCACAACCCAGAAAAAGAATAGCTCACAACAGGTAACTCATTCCTTCAACTCTAGTAGGCAACAGAAGGAGGCTAATCATATTGTCCAGGGAAAAACAAACTGAGGTGTGTTTCCAGGATGCCCGTAACAACCTGACTGAAGCAGAAAGCTCCAGTTAAGTGGAAGGAATCAGGTTGAAATACTGTAAAACACAGTTTGGCTTAAAATAACTAAACTAATTGGCGAGAAGACGTAGTGGGGGGGAGAGCAAAACACATACTCTCCAGTACTTATTACCACCAAAAAGCCACCTGTTGGAATGTGCCAACCACATTGTTTTGTGGGTTTTCTTCCTAAACATAAACTATTTGAAAATTGATTTTGCTAACACTTGCAGCTTGAGGAAATCAAAGATATTGCAATCTGTCATCAAGACAATCATGAAAAAACTCTGCTCCACGTTTTTTCCATTTCCCCTCTCATCACTGGTTATTGAGACAGCATGTGTAAAAACCCCAGGCTTACAAATTAACTTACCTCCTGGTAGATTCAATCAGCAATATCAATACATACAAGGATTAGCTTCCCAGTGTCAGAATGCAATATCGTAAGCATATCCCAGACTATCATCAGATGAAATAACAATGACTAAGGCAGGCTAAACTGGTTACTACGTGGGCAGAACACGGAAAGAAATAAGTGCTATAAGGAGAAACGTTGCACGACTTAAAGGCTTCCTTATAAACCAACATTAAGGTTCTCAAGGCACTGAGCTCTTGAATGTGCTACCCTTTGAATTTCAGCCATACTCTAGTTTGGATATTTGTATCTTTCTTGAGTATCAACATTTGCCGTTTAATATGTGAAGTGAATAGTAAGTGAAAAAAATAATTTTATTTACATTCCTTTAAGCTGGATGCTAAAGCAGGTATCTGATATTCTAGCAGCAGACATACTAAAATACTGTGTAAACGATACCTTCACAATAGCTTGCTAAACATCTCCTGAGGTTTCCCTAAGTGTGGTCAGTATCACGCAAGCTAACACAAATTCCCAGCAAGCACATTCCAAGTCAGCTCTGAATGCAAAGCAGAGAATTTCAGCTTGGGCTAAGCACCATGCTAGTGCATCCAGAGGATTTCTAGTTTGACACTGGCTTGTGGCCAGGTGATCCAGACCACAGAACACGAAACTCAGACCTACTAGCAAAGGAATAATTAGATACATTTTCCTCAGGAGGACAACAGAAACATGGATTTTAAAAAGTGTATTCAAATGCATTGTACTATGTTTGGATTAATTCTACACCAGACTGATCTCACTCATGATTAATATTTTTTAAAATACCAGCAAGTAGAAAAGAAATATACATTTTACATATGACAGTTTTAAGGTGCTAATCTTGTACCTCCAGTTTGAGAGTAGCAAGCAGTTATTTTTTGCAGAGAAGAAAAAAATAATTATGATTATTCTTCAGATAAGTTTTGAAATTTTGTTTTCAATCTTTTCCCTTTTTAAACAGGGGTTTTTGTGTTAACATAGGCTAGGCAACTGCAGTGTTTTAGTGAAGTATCTTACTCCAACAAACACAACAAACCAGCTACTGACCAGAAGGAAAAAAAAAAAAAAAAAAAAAAACAAAACAACACCACAATAGCTTTGTAATAAGGTAAACTCCCCCCCCCCTTTTTAATTAGAACACCTCACTTCACAAGTGTAAAGGCACAGAACAGAAGCTACTACCATTTCTGCTTTAATGGGGAGATTCTAAATTTCTTACCTGTAAATGAAGTATTTTAGATTCATTATTCCGCAGCATTTCCTTCTGTCTTTCAATTTCTATTTCAAAGCTACAAATCTGATTATGTAAAGTTTGTATACTCTTGTTCTTTTCCAAACTTTCATTCTGGAGCAAGGCCACCTGGAAAAAATTCTACAATTACTCCTGCCAAAGTTTATTAAAAATACCTATAACTTTGTCAGTTTTAAACTATCTTACACACATGAAAGGGATGAGATCCTAGTAAAAATCTCTCTCCATGTCTTGCAAATAAATAAATAAACCCCAACTTTCTGATAGCTACTTTTGCACTTCCACAGACTCCCAAAACTTTGGCTAATGAAAGTGCAGATGGGATACACAAACAGCAAAAGAACTTGTGTCTATGCATAATTTTTTCTTTATTCAGTTTGTTATTTAATGGCTGGGTTTCTTGGTTTCCACTAACTGACTTGGAAGTTGCTAGGAGTTTGTAAGAAACAACCTATTTAGCTCTAGATCAGAACTCGAGCCCTGCACAGAAGGGATACCAGAGAAAAGCTGAGCAGCTGAAAAGCTAGTTCGGAAAGGGAAACATAATCTTCCCCACCTACTCCAATCTACCCTGATCTATAGCAAATTTAAGGAAAAACATCATCTGTGTGGGATTGGCTTGGCTTCACAGAGTGTGATGGTGATGAAAACTCCTGAAATGAGTGAATACAGAAGGGATCCATGCATTGAAGGACAATCCAATGGTGCCTACTAGTAGAAAAGACTAAAGAGCTACAAGGCTGCAGATTATATTCTCTCTCTGTATTGACATTTTATGAATTCATTCATTAGTGACTCATTCTGATTTTAAAACAGGAGCCTTGTTAGGAGAATATAATATATTATATCTCTTGGGGAAGAAAGTAATACAGTAAATATTCTCCATCACACTATTTCATGCTCTGTTCATGAATATGGTTTGGGGAAGGGGGTTGCTTTGTGGTGGTGGGTTACTTTTTTTAAAAAAAAAAAAAAAAAAAAATCTCATTTTTCCCCAGGCAAGATTAGTCAGCAGCAAAAACGTAGAAAACAAACACTTGACACAAAATGACATTTGTACATGCCCTGACTAGTTCCACAGATAGATCGTTATATGGATAAGAAGCAGCACCATTTTTGACCCATGAAAATCTTTTGATAAACGTTCCACATTACGACCAATTACTTGGATGCTTCATGTTCCTCCCCAAAAAAATCTACACCACCACCCCCAATACAGATGCTGGTTTGAGGTCAAGCCATTTTTACCTCTGATATGGGTATCACTGTAGAATTCCACCTTAACTGCCCTCTAATCAGACATAGTTGAATAACTTATGTGTCACTGCATTCCTAGACTCAAGAAGCTAGCCTTTCTAAAAAGGTAAATAATTTCAATCTCTATACTAGCCTAAACTAGACAAAGGACTGCCAAAGTCCACAGGCATTAAGCACATTAATTGGACAGGAGCCCAAAAATATGTAGAGATACCATAATATATGTGCGTATCTACTTTTCAATACAGCATAGCATGTGTGCATATACACACATACATTAGTTCCGCATTTTATATATGAAAAACTGGCAGAAGAGGCTCAACAGAAATGAGAGACAGCTCATTTTGCCAGTGCAGAGAGAGAAACAATCTCGAGGCTGAAGGAATGCATGCCTAGGTACTAGAGAAAATTTTCAAGAACAAGCTTAAATTTAAACTAGTACCCCTGCCTCCCACGTATTTCAGATCTGCTGGGTAGCCACTTTAATTTTTTGCATCCTCCTTTTCCTTAATGAATCAGAGTTCTTTAGTTAATTGTGATCTTTACATTCCCCTTTTTCTCATTGTTTCCTCCCCAGACCTCCCAATCATAAGGCAGTTACATTCTCTGTCACTAGCATTACATTTCCATTTTTGTAAAAGTCATAAAACGTGGACCTGTCTCGTACTGAGATTTTCCACGCAGTTCTACAGAACACAAGAAAAACAGAATTATGCCCTTAATCATACAGAACTGTCATTGCTAAGTCAGTAATTGTAGTTTGGTGGTAATTTGTTAAAGAAATCTTTAACACTAAATATAGTTTCCTAATTGCATTTGGCGTAAGTCTTTGGAACTTGAGTTAAAAAACAGGGTAAAGGAAACACAGCATCTATTTACAAACTGCATCAATCAGCTTCCTTTACTTCCTTGTTATATTTGAAATATTGCTAGGATAAAGCACGCTTTTATTCAGCAGTTTTTCAAATTAAGCTATTGCTTATTATTGCTTACTAAAAAATTATGGAAGAAACCCTCTTACGCCACAAAGAACTGGATTAAAACAGACAGGTCCCATATTTAAGTTGCATATTAAAAAAGAAAAATGAGTTTATACCAGATTTCTTTAAGAATGTGACAAAGCCACAAAGTTATGTTCAAGTCATTATTTCCAACATCACAAAAGCTGTGGGAGTTCAGTCTGCAAGTCTGTCCCATCACAGAGTGAACAAAACACCGAATTTTAATTCGCCCCGCAAAGTTTTGATTCAAGATTTTACATCTGACCTTCTCTTACTACTCTTTGCCAACAGCACCACTCAAATACCAAACTCATAACTTAGCACAAGCTTTGCAGCTCTGAAGACTTTCAATTTGCATACTCCACAAACACTGTTAAAGAACATGGTGACTGGGAGAAGCCAACTTCTCCTTTCCCCTCTATACATATCACAGTGAGTACCCCTAACAAAATCTTGACCCTGCAGAAACCAATGAGAAGAATTCCACTGACTTCAGCAGGGTCAAGATTTCTGTGGTATTCATCAGGTAAGTTAACGTTGCACTGTTGTTCTTCGTGCATCAATTAATTTTTTCTCAAAGAAGAGAGCAACAATGAAGTTACAAATCATTTTGTTACCCTTCTCTAGAATAAAGTCACTGACATATGATATGTGGTTAGCTATTCTGGTAACTTGGCATGGTCTCGGGATTTCCAGTGATTCAACTCTTTATTATGAATAGGAAGAAGTCTACAAAGCAGGAAGTGGGGGGGAAAAAAAAAAAAAAAAAAATGGACAGTGATAAGCAGTTATGTCCTAAATGAAAGTTAAAACAAAAATTGAACATAAAAGTGTAGTAAAGTGTATATTCTCTTAGCTCTATAAGAGACAAACATAGAACCACTGGGCATTTTTTAAACGACAAAGCACCTCTCAGGACTCTGACAAAAGGCAGAACATGATCTATTCTGGAAGTCACAGGGAACGTGGTTTTTTCCTATGATGTAAAATAAATTGTATAGTTTTAATCAGACTAATGAAAAAAGAACTAAGGATATGAATCTGTATCATCTGTCAAACCAGAAAAATGTACAGTTCCTACATTAACAAAGAGAGTCAAGTGCAAAAGCAAACAAGTATTGTTATTGATCATCAAACTAAGACTTACCCATGTAGTAAAAATTGTATCTAAAAAAAAATACACTGGACCTCTCCCAGGTTCAATGGTTTCCTTATGGGGCTTCAAGTAAAAAAAAAAAAAAAAGCAGTCCAGGGACAAGTGCGCTGGGGACAAAATCATATTTTGCTGTTCCTGTTAAGTTCTGCTTTAAAACTGTACTTCCTGCGGCTGCAGGACCTTGCTGGAAACCCATGCATGAGAGATCACTGTAGGCCAAGAAGGGAATACGCTTTCTAGACCGAGTTTGCTGAACTCGAGCTAGCAGTCTGCTGTGAGATGACAGAAGTCACAAGCCACACATATCATAACTGCCACTGAGCTTACACTGGAATTGGTGCTCTTATTAACTCATTCTAGAAGAATCTGAAGGGGCTCCTGACTCTTCTGCCTGCATTTGTAGAATAGTTTAGTAATTCTGGGATTTTTTTCCCCCCAAAAAAGCAGAAGCACTATTTTAATGGCTATGTAAAACAGTACTCTTTTTCAAAAGATTTAAGAGAACAGTGATTTGTTCTGAAGTTTTGCATTTTTAAATCAAAGCCTTAAATTTTATTTAGAGAACAGATGGTTCAGTCATTCAAATGATTCACAAGATCGTAGCTGATACTGATACGATTTTCAGCATCTCCCAAATCCCAAACATTCTAAAACCAGGAGTCCCAAGGAAGCACTGCAACATGAACTTCATTCTGGTCTAGCACTAAAGCACAAATCATAATGCCCATGAGTTACAATATGTTTCATTTAATTAACCTTTGCAGGTCATTAAGTTTGGAGAGCAAGAACAAAAATAAATAAAATAAATAACTGGTTTATTCCATGGTATTTCTAATAATGTATCTCTGGAAAAATACTGAGGTAGCAAAAATACAGCTCACAGTGCTGCCACAGCTTTCTGAACCCTTCCTTTTGCAAGAAGGCAGCTCAGAAAGTAAATTGAATACTGGACTGTTAATCTATGTGAAGAAAGTGTTTTAATTAAATTAGCAATGAGGAAAATTGTATATGGAGTTGCGAAGCCAAGTTTCTCACAGCATTTTATTATAACAAAGGTACCAGATATGCTAAGTGGCTTGATTGCTTTTGGAGCCTACTAGTGCTTTAGCTGTACTTTTGAACAGCTGTTAAATAGAAAAAAAACGCTTCTTCCAGTACTTTTATATGATTTAAAGAAATCAATGAAAATTAGAAGTGAGTAGAAGATATACCTTATTTTCTAGAGCATTGCTCCACTCTTTCAATAAGTTAACATGCTGCACTGCTGAGCTGGCTTCATGTGCTTTAATTTGTTGGTTTGTTCCCTGTGACAACAAAGAATTTATACATTTTAGCCAATTCCACTTCTTTTAAACCTACAAAGAAAGAGTATATCAAGACATCGAACCAACATTACATATTTTGGTTCACGGATGCATGTTGCAGAACTGTAGAGAGAAGGGAAATCTACTTGGGAATTCACAATAGTCAGGAATACATTTAATATAGCAAGTGTTTTATACAACTGCCATATATCTCCATCCAGTGTATTTGATACGTCAGAGACAATAAAGATGAATAAGATTTACAAAATGAATTGTATTTTAGAGTCTTCTGTGTAGCTTTACACTAAATAAAGCACAATAAAACTCTTGAGTCATACAAAACCTAAAATGTCCAATTCCCCAAACCGTAATTTAAAACTTCTGTTGTATTTCATGAACAGCTTCATAAGCCCTAAGTTCTCCCTCAGTTGAGTATTAAAGACAAATATTTAAGATAAATTTATCATCACTGGAAACTGCCAGCTTTATAAACTACTTTGAGAGATATTACAATGCCTAGTTTGTCATCCTAAGATGTTACCGTGATTGCTCTATGATATACAGATATGCTGCCTCTGCACAACCTATAAATGCTGTTACAAATAACCACTATATAAAAAGTTTACAGAACACACATAGATCATATACAGAGTACATAAGATGCAGACCATATTACTTACTTTGTATTGTGTTGCATTACACCTACCTTAGTAAGTGTTTTGCAATGCAGAGTATATTAGCTTTGATGGTAGATATGCTGCAAAGCTACTGAAAAAGTTTCAATGATCCTCAAGGTATGTACTCTATATAAAATACTAAAAATATATATGTGGATATATGTACATATATGCACACATATACATACATAAAATGAATGGCAATACATACGACATAACAGTGGGCAGGGTTACAGCATTGATCAGTTCTACCACTAAGAGCATTACTGTTAACACTTAAAATGATGAATGCTCGTTATTTAAGAACCTGGAAATACCTGCAGGAAGTAGTTTATTGAGAAGTGTTGCTGCTTACAGTTCTTGTCTCTTTAAGTTATCATGGACTAACAAATGAATCACACTATCTGATAAACTCCATTTTTTCCTGTCAGTGGTTTCTGAAATTTCCTGACTAATCTCTTCATTATATAAGCATCCAAATTCCCCAAGACATATGGTAAGGGAAGCAGAATATTGGAAGAGACTGGAATAATACTACTGAAATTAAACTCTGAGGTTTGGCTTTTTTTTGTTTTTTAAAATATTGCAGGGATTGCCAGGATTAAAATCTAAAACTTTTTTTTTAAAATAAATTTCATGCTATGCTTTGATTATACACCTATGTGCACACAGACATACGAATGCACATAAAAATACATGTTTTAAGTGTGCTAACCTATGTTTAGCCTTAATATTTTTATTAAGACACACAAATGAGAGAAAATATAAACATACTTAGCTCAAGAAAGTAAATACTTTCATAGAAACAACTGAAGCTACTAGTCTATTTTCTGAAGAACAAAAGTGACTTTCCTCTTATTCTAAGTTTAAAAGTTCTTCAAATGTATCATCTGCCTATTTCAACAAGATGTACCTAATAACTGAACTCCCAAACCATTGCAGGAATGTGTGGGCTTTTTATATTGTTTATTTTTAAAATGCAAAACCAAACATCTGCTGCATTATCACTTGGTGCAACTGGATGACTTTCTTAACCGAGACTAGAGAAGTCCAGAACTTTCACGTCAAAGAGTTAGGTTCTATTTGCAGACTTTCATCAATTGGGAAGTATAATTGTTATATACTGACCTGAAAAGTGCAGCCATAACGCTTAAAACTACAGGTACTTGGGGCATTAATACATTCTGACAAATGTGCATTCAACTGCAATAGGAAAAAAATGTGAGTTTTGGCAAAAGACGTTTGCATGATAATGCTCAAAACATAAAGGGCACAGGTTATCAGGTTTGCATTGTTTGTGTGCTGTTTGCAGAACATACAATACATGTGTGTATATTTTCTCCAGTCTGACCTAAAGTGCAAATACTATATATACACATATGTAAACCACACGCACATGCCAATACAGTATACAGTGTGATACATTTAATATACAGTGAAACTTCTACTGAAGACTATTTCAATAGGCAACCCAATTAAAAAAAGGCAAACAAAACCAACACACTCTACAATTATTTATATGACTTCATTTGACTTTAGTGAACTACTAATCTTTTCTCAACAAGTGATTTTTTTATTGGTGTTCTGAGCAAGTCTTAAGATCAGTTTCACTGTAATAAAGTACATTTTTTCTAATCCTAATTTCATGAGGAACCAATTTTTTCAAAACATAACATGCAATTCTCCATGCCTAAATTTAACAGTTAAATTACACAAAAAAGACTAACAAGTACTGCATGAAACAGACAAAGAGTTTTAGAATAGGTACAGTTAAGTAACTTTAAAAAAATGCAGTACACAGGTTAAAACTGATTAGTAAAATGCCTGCATTTTTCACAGATTGAGATTTACTCCAATATCTTGGATTATTATGAGCACAGACCACTTTTCATTTAAAAATAAACCAATTCACAGAAGCATATACATATATACAGACAGCAGCCATTGCAGCACAGAGGGCAGCAGCTGGATGCAAACTGCCTAAAAGTTGCAGCAAAGAGCCATTTTTGGAAGGGATAGTGCAACCAACACTCTCTCTTCAAAAGCAGGATCTGCAGTTTGTATTTCCCACAAAGCAGACGGGAGCTAGAGTCTAGCTCCTCAGCTGGCATCATTCTTTTGGGTTTCAAAATCTCATTTGAAATTCCCACACCATAAGCCCCACATGACTCAGCTCATCCACCTCCATGGAAAGAAGTGGTGAACCAATTCTGCTTTGAACATGTAGCTCTGGAACAGACAGGAGAGTCTTTAAAATCTGATACCAAGATGCAATCGGTCTCTCATCTCTGATATATACCTATTATGTTCTAAACACTATCTGTAGAAATTCACAGTATAGTTTCAAAAGACACGTGGTTCAGAAAAAAAAGACCAAATAAGAGACATGTGGTATTACAAGCTTTACAAGAATGCCACATTTTCAACTAGAAGTCTGCCAAAGAGTTATGAATTAAACATGAAAAATTGCCTTTCATTCTTAAAATAAGATATTCACTTGTTATACACTACAGAATTTTCTCAAACTGTTAGGCAGGCATTTTCCCATTTTCTACATTAGAGTCATTGTCCCTAACCATGCAGCTAACTAATATATACATTTTCACAGTATCAGAAAAAAATTAAGTAACATACAGCAACAGATGATGCAGGGCAAGATGACCATTTAAAGTTCTGATTCTACCAATGGTTTCAGAACCCAGTTCTAACTATATGTGTGATGACCCAGGCTTTAAAGGGTCAATTCTTATTAGCACTCAGACATACCTCTTCTCAAAGCAACTGCTGAAGTCAAGATTTGAGAATATGCCTAAGTGCTCCAGAACGAGGATCTAAACTTGGAAGCAAGCACTGATAGAATTGGCTCAGTATACATATTTTCTCTTTTCTTAGCAGCTCAATTTCTGTTAATAGGTACAGTATCTATCGTATATTTTATATTTCATTATCCTGGGAGAAAAGACTGCCCCTGTGTTTGGCAGGTGCCTTACGTGCCCTTGTGCACTATGACATGATTAATAATTAACAAGTGTAACTGAAATATAGTAAGAATCCAACTCAGGAAGTAAGTATCAATGAAAAGAGAAAACCTTATCCTCACATCAGAAACTTAACTTTCCTTAAATGAGGCTTACAGAGTGCTGAAGACTTAAGTAAGCTCTTCCCCATCCTTGGTAAGTAAGTTCTATCTTTAGGCAAAAATAACACACATCAACTTTGACAGATGCTACTTATATCCGTTTATGTACAAGAACATGGATCTGTTCAAACATGATTTTTTTTTAATCTCATCTATATATTATTGCAAGCTTCTACACATTAAGAGATTTTTTTATCTATTGTTGCATCTGTTGGAATATTCAACTCATATTACCCTGTATCTTACACTAATTCTCTAAGTGTCAGTTATTATTTTTTCCCAAATTTAACAGATTTAATCATAATTTAAGTTCTTCCATGGAATGACTGTACACATTTATATGATTTTTCTAGTCTTTACTAACTCTTGTCAATGTGCACTAAATTTTAATTCTCTCTTTTTATTTTAATATAAGCTATCTACCCCAAGATGCTGCTCTACTGTGCTCAACAAATGCTTCAAATGGGGGAAGGGCCGGGAGAAAGCTAGTAAAAATGAAAGCAGGAAAGACATGCGCTAATCTTGGGCAAGCCAAGTGTAATAATAACACAAAACTAAGAAATTATTTCTTTTTAAATAGTTTTTCAAGAAATCATTAAAAATATTTGAGTGTTATCACACTTAACTGTGTGGTAGAAAAAGCTTTTCTTTAGATCTCACATTTTAATAAGGAAATGGCTTCTGGCAAAATTCTTGCGAGATCTTACTAAAAAAATTACTTAATTTTTCAGCACAACACTAGGTATGACTTCTTACCTCGCTCCTCATGAGTGTTTTAACACTACATTTATGAGGACATGAAACCATGACACACGGGCAGTCTGTATCTTCATGTTTCTACAGAGGAAAAAGCAAACAAACCACAAATCAACTCTTACTCTGAAATTAAAGAGAGGTCTTACCTGCAAAGAAAAGCATCCTACAATAATTAAAAAAACACACAAGATTTTTTTCAATGTTTATCCCAATTGTGCAGAGTTACAGAACTGCAATTGCTCAAACATCAGTTTATGCTTTCAATAGATGTGTTGATACTCTGCAGCAAAAATAAGGGTTTTCTTGTGTTTTCCCACGCAGAGTAAATCTATTTGCTTCCCATTTTATTGTTTTTACTTAGAGCAATGAAACAACAATAAAAGTCAAGTTTTCTTCCCCAAGAATTACTCACAAAAATGGGCATCTTTAAGAGCGAGCAGAACTACTGCGAATGTCCTTTTTAGCAAGGGTGCATGGAAAAGCTCTTCAAAAGTGTACATTGCCCACTCTCAGAGAATCTCTCTTTCCTATGTACGGCTATTCCCCTCCCAATTATTTTCTAATTTTGATTCCCAAACACCTGATACTAAGTCTTACTGTTATACACCCAAAGTTCAAAGAGATGTTGAAATTTCATCATGATGCTGGGCAGGCATTTTGATCTGAACCTAGATGATGACAGATACTTCACTATAGCTGTCAAACCACATCACCATAGGGAGGGAAGAAAATCAGGCCCAAGCTAATTGAATTTACATTTCTTTTCAGTTTTTCTCAACAGAATGAAAAATCATAGAATCATAGAATCATTAAGGTTGGAAAAGACCTCTAAGATCATCAAGTCCAACCATTAACCCAATACCACCATGCCCACTAAACCAGATCGGGGAAAAAAAATTTCGTTTCATGTCAAGTGACTTGTCCCATTCAACTTGAAACAAACTGTTTCATTTCTGGTACTTAAAGCAAAGGAAACAAAGGTCTAGATTTATAAGCATGTTAGAAAAGGAAGAACAAATAGCATGCCCAGTAATGATGTCTATTTTTTGAAACAACACGAAGACGTAAAGGAGACCCAAGCTCTGAGAGTGAAAGGCCTTGGTTCAGAACTCCATCATAAATCTGCAAATATTTGAAAATGTATACCTCCTCACTTTTAAAAACAGATCATTAGGTATGCTGTTCTGAAACAAGTCTATCCTGCCACCCTTCTTAGTCGCACTAGTTCATTTGGTGTAGCACATGTAGACAGTCACAGCAACAGAAAGCAAGGAAGCCTAAGTTGCTCCTTAGCCAGAGAGCTGGGACAGCCTCCCAAAATGTGGGGGTGAGGAGCTAGCTTCAGTCCCTCCCCACCAGGACATGGATACCCAACCAGGAGCAATGCTAACAGACTGACAACATCTCTCCCCAGAATAACCCCTGTCAGGGTGACTGTGATACTCTTCTAATAAGCAATGGCTCATAGGGCCATTTCTGCTCAGACTCAAGAACTGGACGTGGGCCCCCCCACATTCTGAACACATCTGTAATCGGGTTGAAGAGAGACATCACACACTACCACGTAGCTTTGGGACCCTATTGCCCTACAAACTTCTTTAATGGTTTATCAACTACAAAACTAGAAAAATAATACTCCCTCCTAACATTCATTTCCTAATTTTAACTCACTCTCTTCTCCAACCTACCCAATCTAGCAAAGGCTATGACACTGACTCTCAGTTCATGATAAAAAGGCAACATGCGACTTCTTCTCAGCCCTTTCTCCAGTTCTCCTCCTCACTCCACATCCCAGGGCCCACCCACTGAAACCAAGGGGAGCCTTTCCAATGACTTCAGGATGTACCACCCTAATCCCATTCCAGCGGCAGAATCCTCTTCCTACCGACCAGCTAAATTCACACAGTCAAGCACACAAAACCAAAAGCCAAATGCAGCATAAAACATGGGTGACACCACATGCAGGGCACCTGCCACAGACGAGGGGAAGGCAGGGTATTAATATGGCTCCCCAGAGAAGCCAGTGCCACACTGGGAACATGTCTGGTTCCACAGCAGTGACAAGGGAGCAAGATGACAGTGTCTTGTGTCTTCCCCAGTGGCTGTCCCAGTCAGCTCAGCAGTGTTTCAGACTACTGAGTAGAGTCCAGATTGCCTTAGTAGGGTCTGTTTGGGACAGCCTTTTTGTGGCCAGGGTGGTAGTACAGAGCCTAGACACTAAGTAATGCTGTCCTTCCACATCTGTATCATATTACTACTGCCCAAGTATCAGTTTTATAGGAGATGCACTTCCAAGTAGTTTTGTGGATTATCCACAGAAAAACGTAGTAATTCAGAAGCATTTCAGGCTACTAATTTCTGTTTTAACAATGCACCATCTTTATCTGCCAGGAGTTACAGGATGTAAAAGGTAGCTTTGTGACAAAAAACCCCCAACTTTTTAGATGGTTTAAACAAAAGAAATGAAATTAAGAAGTTAACTCACCCAGTGACAGTGCAGGCAAGACAAATCTAAAAAAATGTGTACTAACATTGTTAACTAAAGACTCTGCCTCCAACAACGGGGATTTCCTACCCCACAGGTCATGGGATTCTATGAAGACATGAACCATACATACTCCGGTAAAATTATTTTTGTTTCCATTTGCATACCTTTTTTCTCGGTATGCTCCCTCTATCTCCATTTTCAGTTCAAGTCACTTAGGCTTGCTTCAGTCATTACTACATTAGAGAAAATTTTAGGCTACAGAAGCTAGAAATGAACTCAAGTTCTGGGTGACAAAACTCAAATGAGAAGTCAAAAGGAGCCTTTCATTCAGCCAACATACAGTCTCATTAAGCTTCCAACTCTTCTAACTCTGTACCAAAGTACAATGAGGTAACACTTTATGAGACCACAACAAATAAAACCATCTGCATTTCTATAATCACTTAACTTCTAAAAATCTAGGCAAAAAAATTTTAAAATTTGCAGCCAATTACTAATCTTCTAATTGTGGAGCTTTCTGCACCCTTAAAGCAGCATGGAAGCAAAACTGTCCTTCTTCTATGTACTGAAACATATAAGCCAATGATAACATGAGAACATGTAACATTCCTTGGAAATGTTCTGATTTACAAATACAGATTTGTTTAGAATTTTTAAGGGCAGGTGAATAGTGGTACCAACTTTAATACAATCAAAATAGTGACAACTCAACATAAAACTACATTTTAACAAACCTCTTTGGCTCTCTGGATAAGCCAATTCTATTACCTCTTAAAGCAACTCAGAATTCCACCATTTAAGATTTTGGAGAACAATTACTTTATTTACAAACACTCTTTTCTGTACTTTAGAGTAATATGCCATTCTTGTTTCCAACATGTATGTCTAAAATAGGTTTCGCTGTGAATTAAAAATCTGATAGACTAAAACTTGTCTCAGCTCTGAGTATCTTGAAAGCTACCACTAGTTCAAAGATTTCATAAATGTCAAATCCATCAACATCTAATAAAAGAGAGAGCTCTTAAACAGAGTTGTATGTTCCTCAAAATGTAAGGATGATTTCAGACTCTCAAAAATTTAACTACATTGCTCCTATAAAAAGAAACTGCCTACAAGGAACCTGTATGTTGCTTAAATATGGAAATCCAGCTTGTACAATGAGACATATTTAATACTCACTGATTTTGTCTGTTAAGACACTACACATTTTTTAATGTCACTCTTGCCTCACATCAATTCCCAGCCTAATGCAAATTCTGTGAGAACAGCATCCATAATCTAACTAAATACAGTTTCACCTCTGTATCAGAATGTGCAAGAATAAACACAGTGTAAACTTCATTTTCTCTGTGTAATTTCACATCTCAGCCACCTTATACTAGGTAATGCACAATTATTTAAGTACCAGCCCCTGCAAGGATACACTCAAATAATTGAAAGCCAGATCTAAATCAGAACTTCGTGAGATTCTACCTCTTCCTTTTTGTAACAACATCTCTGAGCAAAGAATGGTTCTCATCATTGAGAACTTCATTTTCATTTGTGTTCTTGTGTATTGTTTGTGAGGTGAAGTCTCACATCACTCTTACTATACTAAGAAGTTCCAAAATCAGAGACTGTCAAACTATGGAAACTATGTAAACAGAATTTAAAAAAAAAATGTTAAAATTACAGCAAGAGAGATTCAGCATAATATAGTTCAATATGAAATAATGCAAACACAGTGTGTATAAAGTAAGTATGACTTTCTCAACCATTGCTCTATACTTCTAACTCACAATATGCTGCTTATCAGACAACTTGCTCGTATGCTAAGAACAGCAGTAACTCTGCCTGGGCCTGTCATGTACTATTGCTGGTTATACCAAGACACAATTTTTTTTTACATTGTTTCCTCTTTTCCTCTCATAACAGATCACACAGTACCCAAGAAGGATTATATAGAAAGATGCTGGTTTTCCAGTCAATTGCTATGCTTATGTTTTTCCTGCACAACATTTAATTGTTATGATGGTAGTTGCATTTATTGTATCAATTTAAGCAAAATAAAAAAGCATAGCAAAAATTACTTTAGTGTCAATATTATGCAGTGGGTCTGAATTTTTTTTAAATGCAGTATCTGAACATCAGAAAAAAGAAAATGTTTCCCAGTCAGTGCAGTAGCTGGTGTTTTTGCAGCAAAAAAATGTGTTTTGAAAGTCAGCCTATTTTCTTTCTTGACTTACTAATTCTGGCTGAGAGGCCAAGGCTCTACTGGAAGCTACACAGATGCACAAGAAGAGTTATTATTCCACATTAATGTATGGAATCTTGTTCTATATACACAAGAAAATACTGCACCTGCAACATTATCATTGGGACTTGGCTTTTACAGTATTTACAGGTTGTCTCCCGGTATTTACAGGTCTTCTCTACATGGTCTGGCAAATCTTTTCTCAGTATTTTTTCTTTGCAATCAGCACGAGGACACGAGAGTTCTTCAAACTGACAATCAGTTTTCAAATGCATCTGAAAGATAAAAAAAACCCCACACTAGTCAAGGCAACTAAGTTCTGTGCATGTCTTCTATCCTTTGAGACATCCCACATTAAATAACTCAGAACCAAAGTAAGCAAAGTTATTTTGTGCACTGTATTGTACAAGAGCAAACACTAACAACTCTACTCAGGAATACATTTCTGACTTTACACTCCATTTATCTAGACAGCAGATTTCGCTGTATTATAGATGTATGCGAGCTACTTTTATACTAAAAGCATTCTACCACAGTCCAAAATTCCACACAGGCTATTTAAACAAAAGGTAAGCATTTCTTTTCAAGGTATATTATTCCACATAAACAGAGATGCTGCTTTAAGTTGTTTAAGTACCTGAGCTTGCTCATTCAAAGCAAGTTTAAGTACCTACACATCTCACTGCAGACTGCTGTGTAGCCATCCCTTTCGACTGTTAAATTACTGGATTACTGCTATGTTATGCCTTCATGAAACAAAGCTGCAAGTTATTTTGTACAAGTCTGGAGAAGCCAAAGGTTTAACTCCACGCATAAACCACCACTTACATGAAAGGATTAAGACTGGTAAATAAAAATAAAAACACGGCAAAAAGGAACTCAAATTTCTCACATTTGTAAAGTACACATTAAGATTTTTCCCAATTTTAGTTCTCCTCCAGTTCTCATTCGCTTCATGCACTTACATTTCTGAGCTTTAGTGTCACACAATCACACGATTTTTTACTACAATTCCTTATAGCGCATCGAAAAGCTGAGTTTCAAAACAGTTTAACTCTATTCCGACATTTATAAATCAGATTAAGCACTAGTGCGAGCAAGTCAAGAAATGGACTGGGGTTTTAATTCGCAAGATTTCTTCTCATTCTTCAACTCAAAAGGAAGCTTATGACTATGTTAGATTACTTACCAGTAATTGACCCAAAGATAGTTGTTCTTTACAGCCCTTGTTTTCATTTCTACAGTATATTTGAAGGGCAAGTAGTTCTCTCCTGCAACAATTATCTTTAAATACCTGAAAAATCAAAAATCACTTCATTTTAGCAATTTAAAACCACTCAAGAATATGCAAGTTCAAATAAAGTAGAAGCCATGCAATTTGGCTACAGCAGTGTCATTTAATTCCACCTTTATGTGCCAGAAAATCCTACCGTTCAATTTTTCTTGAATGTGCACACCACTGAGATTCCTCCACTATGAAGTAGCCCAGTGAAAGAGAGTATTTGGACAGATGCTGTACTACTGTTTCACTTTTACTATAAATACAACAATGTGAAAGGTACAACAAAGGACTAATTTTTTTGCTATCTGCGTGCCAATAATAGGCCTGCATAAGCTAGAACTCTCTACATTGTTTGGGAAGCTGATGTATTAGGCACAATACCATAAGAGGAAAAAGAGCCAAAGCACAGTGGTTCAGAGAGGAAGAATTTCATGGCAGGCAGTCCCACAATGACTAGACTGGTTAGCTGGAACACCTACTTGCACTTCAGTGGTAACAGATAATTAAAGATATTTTCTAAGGTCTTAGACCGGAGGAAGTTTATCATTTCATAGATAAGCAGGCTTTAACCATCTCTCCATTTTAATGCTTATAAGCCTTTCCAGCATTTTTTGTCTCTAACAGAACTGCAAGAAGTTAGAAATAGAGAGCTCGGGATTTGGATTTTTCACCTTTTATGGGTGATATCCCATAAAAGATAAAGAGACAACATAACTGCACTCTCAAGAAGCCCCATTGCTAAGGGCAGGAACTGGGAATGTGGATTGAAGACTATTACTACTATTTTGAAGTCCAAAACAAAGGGATAAAAACTTCTAGTTATTTTGCAATTGCTTTCATGACCATTAAGAAATACCAAAGAACCAAGCCCAATCTATGACTACTTCTCTGATAAATGGAGTTCTGTGATACTGTGTACACTGCAGGTCGGTTCTGCATACTAACATTTAACAACAACAACAAAGAATTATGATCAGATCTGTCCACAGTGACTATGAATCTATCCCCAGTATCAGTGAAGAAGGAAATGCTGCATTCTCATCCGATCTCATCTGACACAGGTCACTGATTTCCGTTTACTTTTCAGATGCGTATGTGAAAGTTTAATGAATCAACAAATCTCATCTGAATAATCAATTTGCCAGTACTGTAGTATTTTTTCCAAAGTAATTCACAGGGTTACTAGGTACAGTTTTGCTGACTGAAGTTAAGGTAAGAAGATAATTTTTAAACAGTTTTTCCAAGACTGTCTAAAAGCTCTTCAGTGATTTTGGACATCAGCATTCTATGGGAAGAGAGAAGTTTCCAGTTTCATGAAAATCACTGACTTGTACAGTTAGTCTAACATATATTTAATATACACTGTCCTTCTTGTCCTCCTGTTTTAGAGATATTTGAAGTTTCATAACATACGTGCATATTTATGTATACTGGGAGCTAGAAAGTCAGAGTTAAAACGACAAATACAGTAGGCGTCATGATTATTGGTCTGAGCTCCTGGAGAGCCCATCCATGTCAAAACTGAATTACGCTGAGCACTGTTCAGAGAACTATTTTGAGTTAAAACAAGGAAAGATTAATGCGCCCACTAACCTTTTCTTGAAAATGGTTACTATTACAAGTATTCATTTAGGCAGAAAAGACTATTAACACAAAGAATTTCCTAATCACTTTAGAAAAATCAAATGTAAAAACTGCATAAACCATGTACTACGACAAAAAGAATTTTCTCTATCCTCAACCTTTCAAAGGCAACACAAAGTTTTGCTGTGTAAAACAGTGAAGAGGATTTCAGTGAAATAACTTATCCATATAAGAAGAATCTGATTCTATTACAGTTACTGTAACTCCACACTGTTCTGGTTCCAGTGTGGTTCACAGAACAACACACTGTAAAAACAGATTGGTGAATCAGTAGACACTGGTCTGGAGCCAAATCAGGAGTAAGGTTTGCCTAGATCTGTCACATCTCTGCATCTACAGGAGATGCAATATTTCTTATCATCCTCCTGGTTGACGGGAGGACAACTGCAATGTGTTACTGCAGCTCCCAACTATGAAAACAAGATGTGACACCTGGCTGGACCATTAGGGAAGAAGCTGACATGTTGTTTTCTATCATGTGGTTAACAGTAAAAATGAGCTGTCTTCCTACATAAAATGCACGGTTTAGGTTTTATGACAAAACTATCTTCCTCAGGTAGCTTATTAGGCTTGTGAAATAATTACCACAAAGCAATTACACATCTTATGTACGCCACACAATTCAATACTCTTGAATAAGGAACAATTTTAACAGTACCTTATCTTTTACTATGCTTTCTTGACACGCTGTACATTTTGGACTAGAAGAACTGGAGAGAAAAGAAAACAGAAAAACTGTTTTAACTCATCTAAATTTTTGTAGTACAAAACTTTCCGTTTAGGAGGCACTTAGTTATGATTATTCAATATATTTTAAAATCATCAAAAGTGGTTATAGTTCATTATAATGAGATAACATGATGTTATTTCAAAAAAATTGAACACTGAGTTTTCAGTGGACAGTATCTGGCATTCCGAAGGAAGTAAGAGTACCACAACGCCTCCAGCTGACTGTGCAGTTGTTTTCTTTAAGGCGGCAAAATTCATTCCCTATTTTACAGTCTGCGTCTGACCTCCAACTTTCATCACTTCTCAATCTATCTGTGCAAACGGGCAAAATACTGTCTCTTCAATTATCCAGTCCTTTTTCAAACAACACCTAATTAAACTTTACTTTCTCTGACAGTCAATTATACATCCTTTTAGGGTAAAAGAGTATTTATGTCCATCTCCTTCAAGTCTGTTCTGGTTTTAGCAACTGCTACAGATCCTTGCTCCCTCCTATATCTGAACTATTGCCCTGTAGCTGTTTTGGTAATCTAATTACCAAACTTGTGATCTCTTAGACAACAGGTTGGTTGAGGAACAGAGCAGTCTGTGACTAGAAACTGAACTGGAGTATAGGAAACCTGGGTTCCTACAGCTGTTTCTGGCTCTGACCTGTTAGATGTCGTAGTGTAAATCCCTTCATTCCTTTTTAGCTCCTTTTCCCCATGTAAAATGGGGATAGTCATACTGCTCTCCCTTGTAAAGCACCAAGATCTATGGATGAAAAGAACTAGGTAAAAGCTAGGTAAATTTTTTCGTACAGCAACTCATTGACAGGCTACGTAAGTTGCAGCTGCTAGCAGCAGTGCAAATCAATGTAAAAGGCTGAATAAGTTCAATTATGTTATATAATCAGTATGGTTATTTCAAATTATCTCTGGCTTCTGCTCTTGAACTGACCATTCTGTGTCTCATCATATTTCTGAGCATCTTAACTACCCTGCAGCTTCAATATCTGTAATATTTTTCTTAAGTTAAAAAAAAAAAAAGGGGGAAACTAATCTACTTAAGGGCATACAGGGTTTACTACAATGTCATGCTTTCCTCGCTCTTACTGAATTCACTCAAGCATCCCACTTGCTCTTTTAAACTACTGCTGCATATTGAGCAGACATCTTTACTGCATTATCTACACTGACTCCCAATTCTTTGTCCTCAAATAACCCTGGAACAGAAGCTGCTAGCATATAATCAGTGTGTGTGTGCAGCAGCATACCAACACTGAATGAAAAATTTTTGTGCCAAATACAGAAACAACGTAAACTTATTTTGCTTCCAGTTTTATGGCACACTTTTTATTTCTCAAAAAAAGGAGCTGTAAATTTAATTTTAATAAAGGATTTATCTGCAACAAGCACTTAAAGATAGTGAAGTAACTCGAATGAAAGAGTAGTGTGGTAGATGGTCGTACCCATGTGTCCTTTTCAATAACAGACTGGTTGAAAAGTCAGGAAGGCAAAATTACACATATTCTAGCTGCACTGTAATAAGCACATGTGCACATCTCACAGCAGGGAAAGAAAATTGCCCAGATTACAGCAATGCCAGAATTGTTACTGCTTAGATTGTTAAGGATCTGCTCTATCCATTTGCACACATCCAAGCATGGCAGGTGTTTGCTTTTCTTCAGTCACTATTATTAACCATGTAACAGTCTTCCAAAAACATATATTCAGAAAGAAGTAACTGCATTTCTTAAACACAAACTACACCTCACCTGAAAATGTGTATTGAAAAAAAAGTTGGTGGGGTTTTCTTGTTGTTGTTTTAAATTTGGCATGCTGTAGCACAAAACCTACAGGAGTGGATTAGTGAGCTATGGACCCTTGTATTTGCCCAGTACAGAGGTTACTCTTTATCATGAAACAGAATAATGTAATATCATCCAATCTCTTTTGCCATGCTGCATGTAGTCTTGATTTGTATCTACCTGAGATTACAGTATTTCCAAGTGAAATATAAACTAATACCTAGAGTCAGGATGGTCACAAAAAGTAAACAGGAGATCACCAAGACCTTTCAAAGTCAGTCCAGTGCCCCTGTACTTGGCACTGGTGAGGCTGCACCTCGAATACTGTGTTCAGTTTTGGGCCCCTCACTACAAGAAGGGCATTAAGGTGCTGGAGCGTGTCCAGAGAAGGGCAACGAAGCTGGTGAAGGGTCTAGAGAACAAGTCTTATGAGGAGCAGCTGAGGGAACTGGGGCTGTTTAGCCTGGAGAAGAGGAGGCCGAGGGGAGGCCTCATCGTGCTCTGTAACTACCTGAAAGGAGGTTGTAGCGAGGTGGGGGTTGGTCTCTGCTGCCAAGTAACTAGCGATAGGACGAGAGGAAATGGCCTCAAGTTGCGCCAAGGGAGGTTTAGATTGGACATTAGGAAAAATTCCTTTACTGAAAGAGTGGTCAAGCCTTGGAACAGGCTGCCCAGGGAAGTGGTTGAGTCACCATCCCTGGAAGTATTTAAAAGATGTGTAGAGGTGGCACTTATGGTTTAGTGGGCATGGTGGTATGGGGTTGACGGTTGGACTCGATGATCTTAAGAGGTCTTTTCCAACCTTAATGATTCTATGATTCTGTGATTCAAATCCTCTGGTAGTAGTCCAGTGTGCAACATCCAGTGAGCTCAATCTCTTCTGTACCTCTGCTTTCCCAGTAGTAAATGGAAGTATTGACTGCTTATTTACCCCAGGAGATTAAAGCTTGCAGAATGGTCTCCAAACATTAGACGAAGTTTTGAAATCACACTGCTGAATACAATCAGTAGCAATGCATCAAAGTTGAGAGGCAAAGAAATATACTTCTACTGATGCACAGATATTTCTTAAAAGCTAGATACTCCTTGAATGATGTCACTTTTATTCTTACCTAGACTGGAAAAGATTGCATCTCTCAGCATTCATTTTGTGTCTGTAACATTCACTCGCCCACTTTGCACTCTGGCCCAAACATCTCAGTAATAGAGAAGCCAGCGTTCCTGACCCTCGTGGAATCCACAAAACATACAAGTCCCAGGACATACAGGTAGGATGGTTACAGGGAAAGGAAGCTCCACAAGCAGTTACGTTCACTCAAGGATGCCACCACTCAACTGTAACACTGGGTCCAGAGCTAGGTTAGGTACCATCACTAAGGATCCTCTGCAGGCTCACTTCCTCGCACAGCCACAATTTACTAAGTGTATTCTACACCAAACTAGCCACGTTAGCAGTCTTGTGAAATAGCTACTTAGTCTAGGCTCCACAGGCAATTAAATTCTTACCTAACACATCACTACATGGGATTAAACCACTTTAACAACCGTTTCAACAATATTGATGGAAAGCTTAGTTGTCCTATCCCAACCCAGAGTAGAACACAAATGTTTGCACCAGCATATGGATAACAATCAAGCAAGGAACAAGCAGAAGGCTGCTTCAAGCCAGGGCATTCGCTTCATGTATTCCTAAAACCACAACAGTGTTCACACTATTTTCAGCAGTTCACAAGATTTAAAGGTATCAACATGTTCTATCACAACAAAAAACATACCTTAGCAAGGCATTCATGCAGGTCTCACAGAATCTGTGTCCACATTCAGTCTGTTTAGGATTGCATAAGATGAGGTGACATTTTTCACATTTATACTTATCTTCCACAGCATTCACAAATTTCTCTTTGTAGCCACCTTGCTCTGGAACATAAATCGATGCTGAAGGACTGCGATCAGGATTGGCCCTTTGTTGTACCATTTCTACAGATAAAGGGGGTTCTGTCTTCTTACTGGTGTCCATGCTCTAAGATAGTTTCTGTGAGGCAAAAATGAGAAAACTGAGAAATGAAGACCTCTTTTTGCATTTAAATCAAACAAATACAGCATCTCTGAGAGACTACATAAGAACAGAAAGCACTAAGAACAGATGCGTGTCCACACATCATGTGAACATAATACATACATAACTGCCTAAGTATATTAAGCATAACAAATCTGTAAAATATTCTACATTTTTCAAAGGCTCTAGAAGGTCAAGAATTAAAACCTATTCCTGAAAGCAAAGTGTTAGTTAGTTAATTATGGGCATCAGTCTAGGAACAAATAAGACCAGAGCTTGCATTCTTCCGTATCTTTCTCTCTCTCTCTCCGAAAAATGTCCTTAATATTGAAGTTGTATCATTAGAGGCAGCAGCAAGGGACGTGGTGGAGAAGGTGCACTGGTACAGTACCATGCATGATGCTACTGGAAAATGCACACAACCACCAGTGTCCTATACAGGGTATCTGGAGTCTACGCAGCTCCACTACCAACTTTTCCTGTCTATCCCATGCAATAGCAAAGTGTAAAACATGCTGCTTTAAGTCTGTTTTAAAACAACACAACAGGTTGGTTTTTTTACTTATTGAACACTTTCCAACCTTTTTGTCGTACATCCCCACATGAAGAGAACAGGTGACAGAGGAGAAAGGCCTACATAACATGGACACTTGATTAATTCACTAGGACGAAGCACAACTGACAAGCATCTGAGAAAATAATTAATGCAGTTGAAGACTGAATTACAGTACCTATTATCTTGGACTATGATTCATCTACGTCAGCATGCAAAGCATCAGCAGAGCAACAGAGGAAGAATACCCCAGGTTAAATTTTAAAACCCGTTTTCAGTAATTTCCTTGTTTCTCTTGTAGTCAAACAAGCGTAAGTGGTCTTAAAAAACCTCAGCACATGAAGGAGAAAGCACAGTTGGAGGATGTAACACCTATTCACATAAGCAAAATGCCTGGCTATTTATAAGAGAAAGGCATACTTCAATTCTCCCTCCATGCAAACTGACACTTGAAATATAAACCTATTCCACTGCTCTACAGTTGCCTCAACTGCTACAGTTATAATTCAATTTTAAGAAGCAGAATGAAGAAATGAGGCCTAGTTCACTTCTCAATTATAAAAGTATGTTCGCTGATACCACAAAGGGAGTCAAATGCCTCACATGCCAAATATGCAAACTTTCTTGTATGCAGTTTTTGTGATCCCTTGCTAAGCCCAAAACAAGTACTTGTAATTAAACCTATTTTCTTGTAGATCATTTCTGCATCTATACTTTTGGTATAGAATTCTCCATGGAGACTAAACAGACAAGGAGATTTGTTTCATTTCTGATGCCAACTGTTATTTCTAGAAACAAAAGACAAAATCATTGCGACTCATCGCCGATACCATTTCATGTCTTTAACTACACCAGCTGAGCAAGGGTAGAGGTGTTAAGTGAAGAATCCCCACTTCATTGCCCCCTTGCCCCAGGGGAAAGCCTCTCTGTATCTCCATCAAACACAGAGAAAGCCCAAGGAAACCATCCTCATAACTCAGTACATAGATCCAATGATTGGGTCTTATTCAATAAGACAAAAAAACAAAAAAAAACCCAAACAAAAAACAAAAAAAACCACAACAAACAAACACACCCCAAAAAAACCCAAACACACCACCAAACAAAAAACCCACAACCAAACACCCCTCCCCCCCCCAAACAAACAAAACAGTTTCTATAGTAACTGAAAGGGAAATAAAAATTCTGGTCCATAATTTGAATTAATGTCTGGCTGTTCCTTGTCTACTCTTCAAAGACTGCAGAGTCTAATGCCTTGGCAGAACAGTATCTGAAAAAAAAGAAAAATCAGTGCTGAACTGAAAGCAACTTGCACTTCTCATCAATGAGGAAATTCAGATTATTTCAGACCAGGGAAGTAAGCAAAGCCTGAACTAGAGTTTCAGCAGCAAGCATAAAAAAAAAAAAAAAAAACAAAAAACACCACACCCAACAAACCAGATAATGATGGCACTGAAGAGGCAATTCAAAAGATTGTAACCAGCACACAAGAAATGAGATGTGATGCTGAGAACAAGAATCTGAGAGACAAGAAGGTTAAGAGAAGTGCCATGAGTGAGAAAGGAAAGCAGTTGACAAAAGTAGTCTAGCTTTAGAGATTGCTCAAGGCACGACTGCCATTGCTGAACATCCGTGCCTGGACAGGGGGGGAACCTAGTCATGAGCTTAGGACATGGCACTTTGTTGCAGTTGTAAGAAGAAAGGAGATTAGCAAGAGAGGAAGAAAAGTACAACTCCAGAAGCATCCAGACTGGTGAAACTTAGCTACCTATGGATTTGCTTCTTGTGCACGACTATGGGAAAAGCTTCATTTGGAGCTTGCAGTTTAGGAATCTGCAATGGTTTTCAGTTCTCCAATTTACAGTTTGTAGATAGATACTAATGCCTCTTTTCCCTCTGCAACTGCTTTTTTTGGTTTTTATCATATTCAAGATCGCTACCATTCTGTCAACTCAAAGTCAAAAGCCAACTTCAAGCATGTTGACTGGCAAGAACAATACAGGGAACGTGATTTTCCTTAAAATGCCAGAATAAAACAAGGCATAGCCTGATTCTGACCCACAGAAGAAATTCAGAAGAAGAGGCACTAAAAGAGATGCTGACAGGAAAACTGGTAAGTCAAGAGAGCACAAAGTTCCTGAACTTACAAGTCATACGACACAACTACTGAACGTCTGTTTCCCCATTAAGTTTCTTCCAAACAAAAAGAAGCTAAAGATGATTAGAGATGTGAAGTCTTCCAATAGCACGATTTCTTCACGGAAACTGAATAATTAGTCACAAGGAGGCAGGAAGGGGTGAGAAGGAGAATATTCAAGATTTAACTGAGAAAGAGTACCGAATGCCAAATGAGCAGCAGGTGAGAGTTTCATAGAGATACAAAACTGCTCAGGGGCTGGACTGTCAGCTGTCAAGAGAGATTTCATACCAAAATAAACTGCACAGGGCTCCACAGGACTCCACTTTTGGAACTGACATATTGGATATCTTGTCACAGAAAACAACCAGAGAGCACACTGATAAATAAAATTTACTATGCAATATGCCTAACAGTCAGATGTGTGTGCCTCAAGTTTTATACTTCTGTTTTATGAGGAAGTAGGTCAGACCAGAAAAGCTAAACAAGCGCAGCACCAGAGTAGCCAGCTTGTGAGAAATTCTTTTCCACAATACTCTGAACTGCCAGCATTTTCTTACGCAGCAAAACTAGGAAGCCATTCATGAAGTATTGCAATAAAATACAATAGAGAACTGAGCTTAAAAGAACACCAAAACCTCCTTATTACAACAAAAGAGCTGCATTTAACAAGGGGGTGGGGAGATGTGATGTCTATTAAACTGCACACAGAAATCTGTATGCACAGAGCTATGTCGTCGTGCATATGAGTTACATGCTCTTACACATGTATATGGGAGCAGTGGTGAACAAGTGCAGATAATACAAACATTTCAGCTGCCACCCTTTTGCAAACAGCTTTATATTATGGTTTATATACCACTACAGCGTGACATCTGCAATGTCTTCTTTTCCTTTTCAGGAACCTTTAACAGCAGGACTCAGATTATACCCCCATAATTATGTTTCAAACTGCCAACAAGAAGCAATTTTGAAGTCACACCTCAGTAAGATACTAAGCACTTGACAGCAGTGAAGATAACACACTTCCAGAAAGCAGGGAGAGGAATCTGGCTAAAACTTTCAAGATAGGCCAGTTCTGGTGGAGGCCTCCGATTCCTAAAGGCATGGCAAGCTGCCATCAAGTCAAAGACTCTGGTTCTTGTTCAGCAAGCTAAATCTTAACTCCTAATTCACCACTAGCTATTTCTTAAGCTCCAGTTTCTTATCCCTGGGAAAAATAATCACAATATGACTTTTAGATGTCTTTTAAGACTGTTAAATCTTGGACGATCACCTTTCAGGACAGATAAACACATGAAGAGGCACAGTCACCAAGGTCTGTTCTGTCCACTGTTGATTATATTCTTTCAGCCACCTCTCCTGCAGCCAGCATATGCTTCTGCAGAGTAACAGAAGCAGAGATTGTTCTGGTCATCAGATGGGTGACACTGCTTGCTCCAGTCTGTCATGTCTCACTGAGCTCCATTTTTGTTACTACTCTTGTTCAATACAAATGGTACTCAAGTATCTGAGGCTGGACTTCAGTTAGTATTTCAGGCTTTACATACTGTAATAAAGGTTAGAACAATTTGTTCTTTCTTAACTCATACTAACATTAATACAGAGGGTTAGAAACTGGAAGCAAAAGTGAGTTTACTGACAAAGATGTTCCACAAATTAGAAAGCATGGGATTTGCCAAACAAAAAGCATTTTGTTCTTTCCTTGTTTAAGCAAGGATGCTGTTCTCACCACAGAGTGGGCAAACATCCTAGAAATCTGCAACAGTCTTCTGTATTATACCACATATATTTTTTATTTGCTCTTTGGGAATAAAACCAATTTGCAACATAGAAATACAATAAAGCTGCTATAAAAATTCAAAATAAATTTTCATCTAAAAAAAAAAACCAAACCACCAAAACCAAAAAGAAAATTGTAACTCTTATGTAATCTAAAACACTCCCAAAAAAATTTATTGCAAAAAGGCCCACGGGATTTGGCACCTAACAAGCCCTGCATGAAGACAATTTCAATATATTGACAATACGAAGCAAATAAGCTTTTGCCAAAGTTTTAAAATTCAAAAAGGTCAAGAAGTTATTTCAAATACATGTTTTTGTTACACTACCAGAGAAGAGGATAACAGAAGACACAATCTGATTTGGTTACTACTTAGGACAGAAAAGCTTTTCGATCAAATTACAATTTGCACTGAGAACAGAAGTTACTCAAATGAATAGCACTGCATGCACAATATCTAAGTTAAGCTCTGAAAAAGAAACCTGAAGTTGTACAACGAGCTAAAGATCAC